GTCCATCAGGATCCCAAGTCCTCATGCATTGTCCACCCTGCCAAACTTTGCTAATGCCTCGTATCCTTTAGTTTGCTAATACTGTTCAGTGTCAAGACAGTCTTTCTGAGGTAGACTGTTCAAGTTCAAGGACTAGTCTTTTTCTTACGAAATGCATGACATTCAAAAAAAGACAAGAAATAAATACTACATGTACAATATGTAGCAATGAGGTAGAAATGGTTATAAAGAACAATGTCTGAATAGAGTCAGATGAAAAAAGGAAAAAAAAACAAAGAAATGAATATTCTCTAGCAACTGTATGTAATTCACAAGGAAAACACACTCATACACAGACCCACACAGGGGAAGGAGAGAGGGAAGGAAGAAGAGAAGGGGAGAGAGAGAGAGAATAAGCCTAGAAATAAACTTTTTTTTCCTTTTGTATTATAAGACAAAAAGAAGGAATGAATGTGCTCCCAACCTTGGTGCACTACAAAACCATTTTATAAATATTTAACATTCTATAGGCCTGATTCATATCTCCTCACACCACTCGGTGGCAAGGCTGACCCACGTGGCCGACATTCTACATATCACGGAGACAGGGAGGTGAAATTTTCCTGCTTTCAGTCTAATTGTCTTTGACAATTGCAGTGCCTAGTGCTACACTACTTGTGTTGTATTTAAAAACAGGGGAAAGAGGAGAGACTTCTTCATTAAAGATGCAGTATCCCTGGTTCACACAAATGCATCTGGCAGGTTCAAAATCGAATGTCAACCAAAGGTCTTAGCAGACTGTGAGCTTCAGTTCATGTGTTGGTTAGTCACAAGTACAGCTGGCTGTGAATTCTGAAATACTAACAGCTCCATGTTTGCTAATACAATGCTTCATTAAATCGACAGATGATTTAAAACGGAAAGTTTTTACTTCTCTTAAGGAAAAAAGTCACATTAAAAATGGAATTTTGAAGTAGTCATGTGTGTTTTGGCACATAGGAAAAAGGAAGAAACCAGTTGCTTCTGGATAATGTAAAAAATTGATTTGTTTTAAAGTTAAAATAGGTGGCGGTGGAAATAGCACACACATACACACACACATACTAATTATACTTACAATTATATTTATATATATATTAGAACTTTAGTGGCTTCAATAGTTCAATAAACTATGTGCCTTTCACTCTGTAATATGGATTTATATCAGGATTCCCAATTCTTGCTAAGAAAAAGGAGAGAGTTGGGGTACAGAAATATCTTTCTGCTTAGGGGTTGGATATATTTTCAGAGAAAAAGATTCTAAATGCCTCCAAAACATCTTTCCCAACTCAGAGATATATTTAAATTTACAATGACCTATTGCAAGAATTAATTTGGACTTTTTTTTGGATGTATTCTTTTCAAAACTGCATAGCCAAGTACTCAGCAACCCATGAAAATTGACCTTGCATTTAGTATATAGCCTCTGGATAGCTTTTATCAGTTGTCCAGATGGTGTTTGGCCTATGTATTTCAGTGGAATGGTTTATTTTCTCCTTGATAGGTTTCAAATGCACAAGAAAACATTATACCCGTCTATCTGCATTTGAGTCGAATGCAAACTGACTAATAGATAAACATTCTGTGTGAAAGTAAATAGCCTTAACTTCTACTGCCTTCACATTTCATTGACCAGCTCAGTCAGCACAGTTCTGCATACTGTCACTAATGTTCTAAATATTTTGGGGGGAAGTAGGCTGCCAGAGTAAAGGATTTTCACTTGTGTCCTATCTAAAGTCACTATGAACTACCTCGTGAATTTTTATTGATCTTTCTACGGATGTAGTTTCCCTCTTTTCCTTCTCATCCCTGTTGGAAATGTTATTACAGTTGTGTGGAAGGGAGCTAAGGGTTGTCAAGAAGGCTGGTTGGATCTCCTCCCTGGATGGGAGCAGATTGACTGGTTCATTACCTCACACTCATTAGGATCCTCCTCCAAGTTCTAAACGGATCAAGAGAGGCCAAGAGTAGGAAGTCCATTTCCTCAGCTGTCCTAGGATTCGTTGCACATGCCCACTTCTAACGATCTGGAACTTGTTCTCCCCCAAGCTCTAAAACGGCCAGAAAAGGGGTCTTGATTAGGCTAGTCCATGGAAGCGTTTAGAACAATGTCACATGGAATCAAAAACTAGAGTAGACGGTGAGACGGTCAAATTTCCCAGTTTGCTAACATGATCCTAGACCTGCCTTGGCTAAGTGGAAATCACATGTAATTTCAGCTTCTGCTAAATATATGTATCTCAGACCATGTCTGTCTCAAACTAATCTCAAGTCATTCACATCTCAAACAGATTTAAAGCCACTTAAAGCTGAAAGCCAACATGTATGACTTCTGCTCATTATCACCATTGTGAGAACAAAAAAAAACAATTGTCATCTCATGTATTTGGCATTAAGTCTCGCAAGCCACACACCACAATACGTGGGTTGATATTGGATTCTTGGAACTTGACTAAAGAAGACTGGGTTTGTCACAGCTTGCCAGATGTGTTTTAGTGAACACAGCCTATTGGTGGAAATGATATGTGAAGTCTTCAAAACAGAAGAGAGATCAGTGCTGTGCGGGAAAGCTAACTTGTGACTGAGATCAATATGGGCCCACGAGTCAGTGGATATTACAATCTCCTTAGCATGGGCAGTGTTCAGGGGAGATCCAGAATAGGACTCTAGCATTTATTCATTTGTAAAAAGCAGAAGTATCTTAGACTCGTTATCATTTTTTGTATCCTTAATGAAAGGCACTGCTTTTCAGTTATGGAATATTTATATTTAAGAACAGTGTTCATTGATAGACTTTCAGAGTAGATTAAATTCTAGTTCATTTGCTCCGTTTTAGCAACATGAAAAATAAAGAGGGGGATTACTAATCAGACATCATAAAATTTTGAAATACCATGAGGTCCTCATTTATTTTCTCTGGGTTAATATTTCAGAGAAATAATTTACAGATGAGCTAGCAAAAAAAACCTTTTTTTGAAGGGAAAAAATAACAGAAAAGCCTTTCATGGGGCTGCCATTGAATTTATTTAAAATTACCTTAAAATTACATGACTTATTGAATACACAAAATGCCAGTGCTTTGCAACAGTTACTGCATCTCTATTTAAAACAAAACAAAAAAACGAACAAAAAGAAAAAAAAAAAAGAGGGGCAAAACCCAGGAAAATACATTCAAAACGCTTGGCTGTTCTGCTTCGGCACAGGGAGTGCCGGGGAAAGCTCTGTCCTGCGCTGTGACCGTGAGAGGCAGTGATGAACATCAGTCAGCTTCCCATGAAAACCTGCACACAACACATTACAAGAGACCAAGGACGACCTGGTGGGAGGCAGGAGCAGAGGTGGGGATCGAGAGAGAAACGCCACATGTGCCGTGCGGTAGTGTTCAGCAGTGAAGGAAGGCATGAAAGACTAGTGCTTTGGGAAACTAGATTATGGCAAAAAGAAAAGAAAAAGATGGAAGAAAACACAACACAACAACAGGACAAAACGGAAAAGTCCCACATTCGGCAAGCTCTACTGTGGTCGACATGTCCATGTCTAACTTCTTACTGGACTTTCCAAAAGAAACATAAAGAAAGCGAGGTAGAAACGAATGAGGGAGAACTACAGCCGGGGGGGGGGGGGGGTTCAAGATGAGAAGCCAACATGCACTGTGAAGAGTGAAGTCAAGATGAGGGATGAGGGAGGAGGACATGGAGAGGTTCTCTGTGGAGACGTAGAGTTGGTTAATTTTTTTTTTTTCTTCTTGTGTGTTTGATTTGGTTCTATCCTCTGCATTCTCTGACATGGCACGGCAAGCCTAGAAACTCTCAGTGACTAGAATGGCGACACCCGTTCCCAGCAGTGTGTGTGTGTGTGAGAGAGAGAGAGCTTCCAAAATAAAACCCCCACCACCTCCACCACCTCTCCCATGGCAGGAAAAGGCAGTTACGTGTCTACCTTCTGTCACTTCCAAAGTCCTAGATAGGTCTGCGGCTGACTGCTCTAAACACCAACACGAACTGAATACATAAGCCTTCAATTAACCAGTGTAACTCTTATGAACATTTTCACCTAATCATCAAGGAGAGCAATGTATTAAGAACCCTTCAATAATTGTTCTGCTCTGGTTAGTTCCCCATAATTTGTAAGAGAACTTAAAAAAAAAAAACCCTTCCATTTCTACTTTCAATGGTAAATATTCAGTTGTATCACACTTCAGTAATTTTTCCGGATACATTCAAAGTAATTTTCCTTGCTATTCTCCAATTGTTGAGGTAAACATACATTTTAATATAAAGTAACATCGAAGCCTAGCCTATTACTCTCAGCAGTACATAGTGCTTTTAACACATTCCTTTGAGGTACTGGACAAATCACAATCACTTTCCTGAGTTTTTGCAGACAAGAACATTAAAAGAAATGAACTGCAGAAATTAAGGTCCAGATTACCGTTACCCTGTGTTACCTGTTCTTAGCTTAACACTGCAGAACAGACAGGATTGAGGAATACTGTTGCTCTTATAATGGCAAAAATCTGGTTTTCTGTTGTAACACGACCGTTCATCTCTTTAGTCCAATAATGTTTAAAGTTAAAGCTCTTTATATTAGCACATGCCACCAATGTAATTGTGAGGCAAACGAAAAAATAAAGCACCACTCCAGGCACTTAACAGCAACTAAATCTCGAGAACAGCAGAATGGAATCAACACACGAGGTTCATGTCCTTCTGAAATCAACACACTTGCACCTTGCGTCTCGGTGAGTGTTGTCTCGCTGGAACCGATCCGAGCATTCACATGGATACTCTCTCTGTCATCTGGGGCTTTCCAATCAGAGGCTCTCATCTGATGCATGTTTCCTCCAAAGCTACCCTGCCTCTACAGACGCAGCGCAATCATCGTGTTCCCCAGTACCCTCTGCAATTGAAACACTACTGGAAAGGGGCTCTATTCCCTATGTAGCAGGTTTTATGTGTGTGTGCCAACATTCATTACATTTTGGTGTTGTTGTTGTTGTTCTTGTTTTTAACTTTTAAAGACTGAATCACTGATTGCAACCAAACATTTTGTTCCATTCAACATACATATCAAGCTCTTTCTGAGTTATGCTGGGCTGAATCTTGCAGAAAGCATTTTCAAAGTCTTGATACGTAACGGGCCTCAACTGGCTGGGCATAATGGCCGAAAGGTCTGTGGCTGGAATAGCGTGGAGAGGGCCCACTGCTGCTTCCTGACACAAATGAGCCACATCGAGTCCAGAAAAGCCTTCCGTACGCTGGACGAGCAGTGCAAACTCCTTGTCATTGAGACAGTAATTGTGCTGTGAGAGCAGTTGTACTATTATCTGGTGCCTTCCTGTGCTGTCAGGAAGTGGGATTAAAAGTCTTTTCATGAAGTACCTGCGAAGAGATTCATCTATTTCTTCGGGTTTACTGGTGGCACAAATGACTACGATTTGGTCCTCAGCCGAAGTTAGTACAGTGTCCAGCTGCATCAGAAACTCGGTTCTCATCCGACTGACCGGACTGTGTTCCTCGCTCACTTGAGAGGAGAGAAGCATGTCAATGTCACTAACAAAAATCACTGAGGGCTGGCGACACCTGGCCACAAGAAAAGAGGCATGAATAATTTTCTCCGCTTCGCCTAACCACTTCGCAACTAGTCCGGAACCAGCAATTTTGAAAAACGTGGCCCCCAGCTGACTAGCTATGCATCTTCCCAGGAGTGTTTTGCCTGTTCCCCGAGGTCCAAAGAGAAGGATGCTCCTAGGCAAGGCCGTCAGCCCGCTGAACGCATCGGACCTCAACACTGGCCACAACACCTCCTCCTTAATGACAGCCTTCACCAGGTCAAGACCAGCTATGTCACTCCAGTCCACGGGAGGTCCTTGGGTGATGATCTCATTGGTGACTAGGTCAATGAGGTGCGTGTCAGTGTTCTTCAGTTGCTCGTCCACAGAGTGGTTCGATGAGGTAGCTGCACGGAGTCCCGGACCTTGCATTGGATGAGCGAGGAGCTGCCTAGGGTCTTCCCCGTGCTCACTCATGACTGGCGACGTGTACTTCCCAAAGGATTCACTGGATCTTGATCCCAGTGAATTTTTAGCAGTACTGTAGGAAGGAGGGGTCAGAGCCCTACTGGACTGACTGCTGAATTTCCTTTGCTGTTCAGAGGACATCAGCTGCTTTGTTGGCTTAAATGCTAAGGATGATGTTTCAGCATTTCTGTCAAAGCCATTCCCCCGATTCGCGTTTGAAATGCTGTTGTCGGGCATTCGGTACATAGGACTCTGTGTCGATCTCTGTTGGCCATAGCTGTAATTTCCGTAACTGGAGTCCATGTCTCCTTGCCCTGCCATATAGAAAGCTTTCCTTTTGAGAGAACTTGCCGAGCTGTTGGCCAGAGTAGAGGGCGCGATGGGCGTCAAACCATGACCCTGGTAGGTGTAGCCAGGAACCGTAGTGGGGGGCAAAGGAGTGGGAGCAGGAATTCCTGAAGGCAGGTATGCAGAAGGAGGTGGGGGCGCTCCACCAGGGCTGTACCCAGACCCCACGGCCGTCTGAGGAGGATAGCTAGCAGAGGGATAGCTGTAGCTGGAGAGATTGGAAGTCCCATTGTAGCCTGGGACCAGGGCTGGTGGGGGAGGAGGAGGAGGCGGTGGCTGCAGGAGCCCGGAGCTATGCAGTGGCGATGGATGAGGCGAAGGAAGTGCAGGCGTGGGCTGGCTACTGTACGTAGAATGCAAATACGATCCGTTGTATCCTGGAGCATATTCCTGAGATGGGAGCCCTGCATGAAGACTAGGTACTGTGTGGCTTCCACAGGTACTACTTGAGTAACTTGGTTCTGTCAGGTTGCTGGCCACCCCAGGGGAGCTCCCTATACTTGCAGAGACATCTACGGGAGGGAGGGCTGAACTGACACCAGCTTTGCTAGCAGTGATGACATCCGGAACACAGTTCATAGGATAAACGGCTTCTGAATTCAAGGAAGGCTGCCAGGGTTCGCTCTCGTTTTTCCGACCATTCACGAGTCCTGATGGTGTGTCTGAATAATTGCTGAGAACAGGTCGGTCCACGGGACCTTCCAAAATGCCAGAATACTTCTCTGCATATTTCTTCAGAAGGTTGGATGCAGTCAGAGCAGATATGTCATCATTTGCCCAGGCGTACTGGTAGGTGCGCTGCAAATGACCTCTGTAGGCTTCAACTTTGTGGGCAGGAGACCGAGTGGTTGAGGTGATGTCAAAGTGCTGTTCTGGCCACTGGGCATGCTCCGGCGTCCACTGCATCTTCAAGCCTAAGTATTTGGGGGGAGGGGGGAAGAGAGTAAATTCACTTAGACATTCATCGGAATTCTTAAAGCTTTCTCCCTGACTACAACTGTTATCTATTAATCTATTATCTTCCCTTAATAATATAGACATGGGCAAGGATCCTCCCAGATTATAATATCTATTGTGATCTCTATAATACAAATTTTTCAAAGTGGGGTAAAAAAATCAACCCTATAAAAATATAAGTCCAATGTAAAAGAAAACTCTGTAGAAAACCAAATATATATATATATATATATATATATATATATATTGACAGCCTTATTGCTGTCAATCCCATCAAGTTACTTGTTAACCACACACACTTATACAATGTCTATGTACGCAAATAATACTGTCCAATTAGAATTCAATCATAGTCGCTTGCAATAACACACACATACATTTTAATATCTGGCATGCAATACGGCTAGCATGTATGCCACCTAGTTATTTGGTTCTCCCCATCGGTTTCTGTTTTCTATTTTAACAGTATAAAAATGAGACACAGCTGACAGGCCGCATCTGGGATCCCTCTCTTATTTGGTTCTGAACACCTAGTTAGCACAGTATAATGCTCCCTGCACAGAACAATATGACACAGACATAGCAGGTCATTTCATAATCCAACTCTCATCTAAAGTGGTCCACGACAGTTTCAAATCTGCTTCGTGGAGTGCAGCAAGCAATCTCCCAGGCAGCGCTCCACCGCTTTCATCGCACAAAGCCTACAACTCGGTATGAATTACAACTGGCTCCTTTCTGCCTCTCAGTTCTGTTGTTGAGTCTGGAAAAAAAAAAAACAAGCATCACTTGTCTGTCGGGCTTCTAGTGTTGTTGTCCCTTCTCCTCTGGTAATCCTCCTCCCCTTATAGACTGCAAGGTACCAAGTGGGGAGAGAAGAATATATATATATATATATATATATATATATATATATATATATATATATACATATATATATATATATATATATATGAGAAAACAGGCAAGAAGGGATGATCAGAACTGGACTCTAACTCCTTAAATTTCTATTGTGAGCCATGTGTGGCAGAAACGGAAAGAATACGACTCAGCAATGAGGTCATAGGAGTAATTCCATCACCTGACAGATTGCTAAATGAAGCCAGGGACTCCGTAGTAATCCTGAAACAGGTATTTTCTGACTTAAGAGAAAATATTCAACTATTAGAATCAGACCGTCATTTTAATTTAGAACTTTTGAAAGGCCTTAGAAATTACCTGGTTCACATATTACACAAGCATTGCCGAAAGCGACTCATTTAAGGTGTACCCTTGAGGGTTACATGTCGTTAGGTACCAAGGAGTACGGGAACTCCATTCTTCTATTTTTTAGTGCTTGTTCATCTTAGCTCTAATCTCTGCTCACTTGGAATGAACACTTCCTTTCCTGCTACAGCTGTTTTAAGATACCCTCCTTCATCTCTTTTGTGTTACCCAAAGTGAATTTTGCAAACCATCTTGTGCCCTCTGGCAAGGAATCCTTGATAAGAAGAAGACCTGGTCTAAATGAAGCGTCTGTGGCAATGCTCGGTTCCCTTCTGAATTCCCCCAGCAGTGTTGACAGCTCTTCTCCCCTCTGTTCTCCTCCCCCAAGCACTCCAGCTCCTCACTGCCTGACTCTGGCTTCTGACATGGCCAGCGTTGACTCGCGGAGCTAAACTGAACAGAGCACAGTTTGGTAACAGAATGGCATGTTGATTCCCTTCTGACTCCCTCTTCCTTGTTTGCAAAACCACTGCACCAGACAGTGGAAGTTAATTAGCAGGAGGATGCTGTGCTAATTGTGTTAATTTACAAGGTTTTAGTCAAAGAGAATCATGCCAGGGCTGGCACCGCTGTCATGCTTCAGACTTAATGATTAAGAAATACTGAAAACAAGGTGGGAAGGATTGCAGTAATTACACAATAAATGAATAAAGCAACAGGATTCATTTGCAAATATAGTTTACTGCAGTTGTACTCATTTGCATTTGGTTTTTTAAAAAGGATCCATGCAGATATTCATTTGCGAGTCACCAACTCAGTGAAATTAAGTTTGAATGCTGCACAAGTTAATCAACCTCTCTCTCTCTCTCTCTCTCCCTTCCCCTCTCTCTCTCTCTCTCTCTCTCTCTCTCTCTCTTTCTCTCCCTCCCTCCCTGTGTTTAGTAAAAATACCAAAGATCATATAAATTCTTTTGTATATACAACAGACCCTTTAAACAATCTAGTCAATCAGTAAAACAGCATTGTGAACCCCAAAGAAGCACACCTTTATCCTTCAATTCAGAGACATAGGAAGGGGTGAGCAGAGCTCCAGGAAGAACAAAAGTGATCCTCCTAATTGTTTCTGCCTTCTTGATCATTACTTTCTTAGAGGAGAGAAATACACCACAAAATGGACAAAATGACTAAAACCACACTTAGAGGGGGGAAAAGATGCAATTTTAATGAAGCGGCTTCTCAGGAACCATACTTTCATTAAACGCAACTGGAAATGATAAAGGGCAAATCACCAGGAACCAATCGCAAGCCATCAGTATCTGCATTCTTCTTGCGTCAAGAGATTTATCTGAAGCTTTACAAAAAGGAGAGACTATAAATGTGACTGCAGTGTAGAACTAAAAGGCCTACAGATTCATTCATCCCATGATTATTTCCAAGTAATTTCCATTAGGATCTTTATTTCCTTAAAAAAAAAAATGCCTGACAACACTGAGTAGTGAAAATGGTAGCACACATGCTACGACTGGGCATTTTATTAGATTGAGAAAGAAGAAACATGAAAAAGTAGCTCGTAAAATAATTTAGAAGTCACAGGCAATGGAACATAGCACAAGGCATGAGTGGGCAAGTACACACCTATGCCTGTACACATACACACATGTGCATGCAAGAACACACAATGAAAGGATTCAGCTTCCTTCCAGTTAATTCATATCTATTTGTTGCAGTTAGTTAATAACCATGATAGAAAGAAATAACCTTTCATAAAAGTGAAACTGCTTTAAATAGAGAAGAGTTAAAAAGAAAAAAAAAGAGGCGTGGGGCCTCTCTGGCTGTCTTGGTTTAAATAAAGTTTTCTTATGAATTAATCATTTATGAAAATGCAAACCTGATTTTAATATGTTACCATTGCTGTAAGAGATAAGTCTATGCAGTTTGAGCAAAATGGATTGCCCACTTAAACAGAGGCTTTATGTGCAGATTTAAATGTAGCAAAACTAATTGAATTTCCAAACATTTCTACTTCATCTGAAATTAAGTGAAGATCTTATCCATCAAAGTAACTTATTGGAATACTCACTCGATTGGATAGGCTTATTGAGGTAATGAAAAGTTTATCTATGGTTGTATACTAAGTAACCACAGTTTTAGCAAACCTGAGACAGGAAAGCTTGAGTTCTGTTTATCCTGGAGGAAACAGGATTGTCTAGGAGAGCTCTGGAGTCATCAATGCTACTTGAAAGCAAAGGATAATCTTTAAACATAAACTGGATCCTGATATTGGTGGGATCCACCAAAGTCAGTATTCAGCAGCCTGGTGGGGCCTTGCAAGCATAAAGGGCTGAAATTTTAGGGTTACATGGAGGCGGCACCAAGTCCATTGCTGGTGTTATCCTTGTTTACTGGTGGTGATGAAGTGGAAGACAAGGAGGCACCCAATGTTCTTTGGACAAAGGTATCCTGCCCTGGTTTACTGCATTATTGCCACCTGTGAGAGCAGAAGGCTCCTGCCACCTAACCTGTCATTCAAGCAATCAGATGAGTTTTTATAAGCAGCTTTGACGTGATTTTTTTTTTCACTGAACATAGAAAAAAAAAAAAAAGTCCTGGTAATGACTCTATCTTACATTTTAGAAACTTGTTTCCAAAACAGTAACTCCCACTTTTGTTTGGAAGTATTATCCAAACAAAAATCAGAAAAGAGTCAGGCGTCTTGGTCCATGCTTCTAAACTTAGTATTGGGAGGTTGACGTGGGAAGTGCGTGAATTGAGGACAGCCTATGATACAGAGGGCTACCTTGGCTCGCATAACTTCTTCCCCACCCCCTCCAGAGAATAGAGGAAAACAGCACCTACAGCCTTTAAAGATAATTGAAAAAATTGTTCAAAAATGTCAATATTTACTTTGTGAAATATGAGAAATTTATTACCATAGCTAGCACATTTCACAGCAAAATGTATTTATGTTTCAAAATAATTAACAAAGTTATAGAAAATTAGCTTGATGGCTTATCAGAAGTGTTATCTATAGATGGCAGATTCTATGGTGCAGTCTCTGAGGCTTTGTCTTCTGTTCTTGCCACAGGATGAATTGTGAACGTCTAAATGAGCATCTCTGTGTCTTGAATACGACAGAGCAGGGATGTGTATGGCATTTTCCACTTTTCCCATGATTGACCATTTTAGAATTTAGTCCCTAAGCAGTCACTGCCTTACAGTTTGCATTTTGATCTTTACTGAGTTTTGAAGCATAACAACCAAAATGACTAAAGTTTTGTCACATTTTCAGAAGTCTAAAGAAAAAAATAGCAAAAGTGAAGAGAATAATATATAGGAAGGGGAGAAAATTAGAGATATACAGGTAGGTCTCCTAGAATCTATTTTTAGCATAGATTTCTGGAATTACCTGGAGACACTCACTTAGTACCCCAACTTAATACTTGCGAGATTTAACAGTTCGAGGTCTGGCAATTTTATGTTTCAGCTGTGTTCCCATGGGGCCCCTCTGCCTGCTGCTAAGGGCCGCTTTATCTGCAGCTTTCTTCAGTCTCATAAGGGTAAAGACCCAAGGCAAACACTGTAGTGTAGCAGGCGTGCTCTTGGGCACCTGCGCAGCAGTGCTCCTATGACCACATGCCCATAATGTTCTGTGGGTGACTGTACCGCTGACCTTTTCATTATTTTTTAAAAAATACTTAAGAATCTTAATATAATATTTATCAAGATTCTTTGTAGAAAGCAATCGTTGT